TTTAGCGGAATTTAGTCTGATTTACCCAACAACTGCACGGCCCTGCGTCACCTTGGTCTCACCAGGGACCTCCCCATATCCGGGGGTGGTGTAGCAGCACGTACATGAGCCGTGTGCCCCTCCATTTTTAAGACCCTCCTACACTGCCCTGGTGCTCCACCATCAAGGGCAGCGAGTGCAGCACGGTACCCTGTTGGTGAGTCCCTCCCTGGTCGGTGCGCGGTCACGGCTTCCCTCCAGTCCCGGTGTCAGGGCATTCAGGCGTCAGGGCATTCAGGCCATCGGCGGTGGCATTTGGGCTCAGCTGGGCTTGGCCACAGAGCTTCCATTACCAGCATGAGTCCAGACGCAGGTGTCCGTGCTTCGAGGAGCAGCAGAGTCTCCCCAACAGCTTCTCTGGCTTGACGATGTCCCCCTGCTCCAGGGTGCAAAAAGGATCGCTGGCGGCTGAGGCAGCGTGGCTCGCGCCTGCCCCGTGCCCAGCCCCGGGCGGGGGCCATCGCGCCAGGAACGCTGCCCGCAGCACGCGTCAGACACGGGACAAGGAGGAAGAGGCAGGAGACAGGGGGCCTGATGCAGGTTTTTTCTGTACATCAGTGTTTTTGACACCACAGCCTGTTGCTGCTTATAATAAAACAGAAATCAGAAAGAGCAACCAGAATACACACCCAAAGGCAAAAGATCCCTCGGCTTAAAACAAGGTGCTGCCTGGCCCCCAGGAGGGGAGGCTGGCGGCCGGGAGCCCAAGGGGAAGGGGTGACACCTGCCCTGGCTGGGAAGAAACACAACACAAAGAAAAAAACGAACCAACAAAAATCCCCACCCAACGCTCCCGCTGCGGCGCAGGGGAGAGCCAGAAAAACCAAGATTGTCCCATCCTCAGTCCTGTTAGCACCTGTACAATAAAACTGTACCATCTCCCGGGAGCGGAGCAGCCCTGCCCCGCGCCCGGGCAGCGGGCCCGCTCCCTCCCAGAGAGCTGCTCCTGGGGACACAGGAGGGCGCGGGGAGCAGGGCGAGGCCGAGCAGACACCGCGCAGGGCGAGGAGGGGGCTTCTGCGGTGGCGAGAGACCCCGGGGTGCGGGGACGAGCTGCCGGGAAGCGCGGGGTGCGCCTGGGGGCCGCAGGCTGCGCCTGCCCACGCGACAGCCGCCGGGGAGCGGGAGCAGCAGCACGAATGAGATGGAGGAAGGAGCCTGGTGAGAGGATGGAGCAGCGGGGCTGGCTCTCGGCTGGCGGGTGAGCGCCTTCAGCAGAAGCCGGCTCCAAAGCTAAGGGAAGGGACCGTCCCCAGGCTCTCAGCCGGGGTGCGAGAGCCCGGCCCTCGAGGGCCACGGGCCCTCCGGGCCTGCTGCCTCATCCCCTAGCCCGGAGCTCACCATCACAGTGATACAGACTCAGCAAAAACAAAGGAAATATTACAAATTAAATACTAATTAAATAAATACTATGGAAGACGTTGGGAGGGGGAGGGCAGACAGAAAGGCGCAGTTCCATGGGGTCGGGCGGGGAGGGGCAGCGGCACCCACCACCCCTCACTTCGGCAGAGCCGGAGCTGCCGCTGCCCCACGAGCTCCGGCTCACAGCGGCCGCATCGCCCGCCGTAGCTGGATGGGGCTGACGGCTGCAACCGCCGCTGCTCGTCGCAAAGGGACCCTGGGAAGTCCTTGGAGGCAAGGGTCCTCTCTCCCCAGCTGGAGGAGACCCCGAGGAGACGAGGACTGGCTGGCCAAAGACTCGGGTCCCTGCTGCTGGCGCTGAGAGGGCTGCTTCCCGTTGGTCGTTATTATTGCCTCGTGGTGCAGGGAGCGATCTGTCCCCGTCAGCTGCTCCAGGCCTCGTACTCCACCGCCGAGCCCAGCAGCTGCAGCAGCTCGGGCTCGTAGTGCACCAGCTCCACTGTCTCTGCCGCGCCCTGCGCCGGCTCGGGGCTCTCCTGCACCTCCTCCTGCGCCAGCACCTGGCTGAGAGAGACCTGGCGCTGGAACTCCGCCTTGGGCAGCGTGGCGATCTCGAAGTGCGGGAAGCGGGCCTGGAATATGCGGGAGGACAGCTTCAGCCGCTTGAGGACGTCGGAGAAGAGGAACCAGTTGCAGGGCCTGCGAGGACAGCAAGAGGATGGCGGGGTAGGGACAGAGGGGTCCACAGGCACGCTGCCCACCTCACTGACTGCCAGCACGCTGGCCCTCCCCTCGACGCAGCGCTGCCGGTGAGGTCCAGGCACTATCCTCCACGCGGTCCTCCTCCGCAGGGTCTGGACAGACCACACGTACAGGATCTAGGCTCAGGGACGCGCCTGGGTTTTTGATCGCTGCCTTGCAGGTCGCGTCTATTTAAAGCACTCAAAGCAGGACAGTATCGACAGCGGCGAGGCCTGCGGAGCTGCCTCTTTTCTTGCAGCACTTCCCTTGCAGCTGGGGTACAGAAGGGATGGGAAGAATGAGGAGAGAGACTTGGAGCTGCTAAGGCAGGAGATAAGGGACTAAACTGTGGGAGCGATGGAGGAGGTGCACTAATGCAGGTTTGCGAGCCCAGGGTGGAGCGGGGGGGAGGACCAGTCACTGGCGATGATGGCAGCAGCGTGTTACCAGCTCTCCAGCCACCGTGTGGGAATTTGGGTGCTTTCTGTTGACGCTGAGCTCTCGGCTGTGCGTGCCGGCTAAAAGGGATGGGATGCGGGACCGCAACTCTGCACAGGGGGGTGGGCTGTGAGACTGCCCGTGCTGCCCGGGCACGCTGCCCACCCCTGCCCTGCCCGGCCTCCAGGGCCTTTCCCGCAGCCGCTGCTGCTCTCCAGCTGCCCAGCCCCGGCCCCGTCTCCTGCGGGGCCTCAGCCCATGCCTGGGCCGGTGCTTGGCGCTTGCCTTCGCTGGACTTCTGGGGTCCCTGGCCCCCCATTCCTCCGCAGAGGCCGCCGGCACCGGGGCTGTGTGGGAGGTGCTGGCTCGGGCCGGGC